TATAATTGTACCTTAAGCTGAGTTCCTTAATAGCAACCCCAAATTATGGTCTCAGGTCTGCACAGATGCTGCTGTAGACAACCACGAGCAGAAGTTCTCAGAGAAGACATGGGTAGTTTTCTAAATTAGGGTCCCCTTGTAGGCCCCCAATATAGTACGGCACCCTTGTAAAAAGGACCTAGCCCTAAACCCGAAGCCCTAAACCCTAAACCCCCTTCCCTCCCTAAAACGGATCGTAATTTAGAGAACTATAGAGAACTACCCACATCAGTCCGAGACTCAATGCTTTGCAACGGACAAGGTCTTCACGGTTTAGGGTTTAGGGGTCTTCAAGCAGGGATTAGGTGTTAGGGACAAGGACTTCCAATATCCTTAATGAAGGAAGGGATCCTACTATAGTTTACGGTGTCTTCCGTAATTCAAGGAGAAAAAAGGGGCCTTAATAATTAGAATAGGGTTTGGGGTATATGATACTATAATCATTATAAGGAACCCCCCAAAAAACAACCTATTCTAACTATTAAGGCCCCTACATGATTGGAAGGCATGGCAGTTTTAGGAACCCCCGAAGCGGATTCAGCAAGCCCTGAACCGTTAGACGCTGAACCGTCCGAAACCCACGGGCCAACTACCCGCATCATCAGGAGTCCCTAGAAGGACTGCTGATTTGGGTTTCAGGTGTAGGGCTTAGGGTATAAGGGTTCGGGTTTAGAATACCTTCAACCCTAAACCCTAAACCCTAGACCCCAGACCCTAAACCCTAAACCGGTATTGTGTGTTCCTACCATATAGGCGAGCCGCGGAGCTGACAAAGGGACCTCAATAATTACTATTGCCAGCCCCATGGGTTTAGGGTTTAGGGTTCACGGTTTAGGGTTTAGCCAGCCCCATGGGTTTAGGGTTCCGGGGACTGCCTGAATGCAATGTCAGTGTCATATACACAGGAAGTCCTTTGATTCCGAGTCTTGGGCCACAGTATCTGACATTCTACGAAGGAATCAGGGTACCGCTCCGCAGATCTACTATTTTGGGGAGCTAAGACTATAAGAAGGGACCCCAAGTGAGAGAACTACCCATCTGAAGACGGCTCTGGGAGTCTGGACTTTTGGGGATTTTAGGGTCTAGGGTCCACGGGTTTAGGGTTTAGGGTTTAGGGTCTACGGTCTTAAAGGAAAGTGTAATATGTTAAGGTTCAAGTTCATGTGGGCAGGTTGTCGGGATGAGCTTTAGCAAGTTTAGGGTTCAGGCGCTTTGTAGGCTTTCCTGTAACTTGTTAAGCTTTGGATGCAAAACGACCTGCAACACTAACATGAAACGAGCCTACAGCTCATGTTCGCGGTGCAGGGCATTAGGTTCACGACTGTAAAGGAACCCTAAGCACTAAGGCCTTCGGGTTTAGGGATTTGGGTTGAGGGTTTAGGGTTTACGGAACTCCGACAAACTGCAGCACCAAGTTTGAAGCAAAGATCCGATGGTCCCACGGTGATGTTTCCAACAGACAGGCCAAGCAGCTTTCGCACCTCGCTGCGTTCACTCGGTTGTGGCTGTCCTAAATCCTAAACCCCAAACCCCCAAACCCTAAACCCCTAAACCCTAATCCCTAAGCCCCAAACCCTCGGCTGCGGCTGCAGGGTCAAACGTCGGGGGGTCTCGGAAGCCCAAAAAATCCCTCAAGCTAAGACTCGAAGACCCACAAACACCGAAGCCTTTCACCCCGAATCCTAAAATCACTGCTCTTTTGTTGGTGTCCAAAGGCTCTTCCTGCGGCAGTTTTTTGGTTTGGGGGTTTAGGATGCAAGGCTTCTGGGATTAATCCAGATCCTCCATCGTAGTGCGTTTTCTTGGCTACGGCTTCCTTCCACAATAGATCCAGGAGACTGCCGAGCATAGGTAGGGGATGAACGCAATACATCATTATCATCATCACCACCATCATCATCAACAACAACAACAACAGCATCGTCATCATCAACAGGAGCAGTAGCAACATGGGCAGCAACAGTAACAGCGACAGCAGCAGCAACAGCAATAGCCACATAAACATCAGCAAGGAGAGCAATAGCTGCGAATACTCTTCATCAACATCATATTTATGCATCACATGCATCGCTGTCGCAACAGAAGCTGCAAAACAAATCGAGTCGTCATAAGTTGTATAGTATGACAGCTAGCCTTGTTCTGCTTACTCTTCTCCCTCCCACTACCAAGATGCGTGTGATATCCTCGAGTTGTCCGAGGTCTTGGTCACGTAAGTATGGTTACTGCTAAGCCATCAACCCTAAACCCCTCAACCCCAAACCCCCAAACCCCGAATAGCTTTGGCTTTAGGTTTTGGGATACATAGAGCTAACTTAATTAGGATATATAGCGTTTCGGATAAGATCCCTTACTTCATGAACATACCTAAAATGATACAGGAGATCCTACTATAATTCAAGATATATACCTTCAGTAAAGGATATTGGAAGGTCTGAATAGCTAGCCACACCGCTGGAACAGAGTAAGCTAAGCCGGCCGACCACATCAAAGTAAGCTTAGAGCTGTCTAGATAACCCTGAACCTCCAGACGAAGTTGATGAACTGAAGCGGCCTTAATGGCTAACATAGGGTTTCGGGGTATGCTATGGTGTGGTCATTTTGCAATCCAGATTCCCAGGACAGCAGTCACCGAAAAGTCCAAACCTTAACTCTTAACTACGAAAAGACCAACCGAACCCTGATCCAGGACGAAATACGTCGAAACCCACAAGGCACAGATGTCTGTGTTTTTGAGGTTTTGCCTAGATGTGTATGCTGATACCAAGAGTTACTGTGCGTTCAAGGGCGGCAGATGCTATAGAGGTTCTGGATTAAGTTTCGGAGAGTTAACATCTAGGATTAGTTAGGTGGTCGGATTCGGCGTCAAGCTTCAGACCAAGAACCCTCCCTAGATCCTACGCCCGAATTGCTAGGCCCTAAACCGTGATCAAGCAGAGGCGCCGCAGCACTGCCAGACACGAACTTTCCTGCCTTGCACGCCACGAGGCCCTTTGTTGCAGAGACTTTCTCCAGGGCTCTGAAAAAAAAGTCAGGAAAATTGAATAGGGTTTACGGTTGAGGGTTTTGTTTTTGAAGTTTAGGTTTTGGGTTTTAGGGCATTCCCAATGGCTCATGTAGGGAAGCCAAATCCAACAAAGGCCTGTTTTCTGAATTAAGCACCAGTGTACTACTTCCACGCCATGTCTCTTTTCGGTCAAGCTTGTAGTATCCACAGCCAGTGGTGTAAGGCACTCCTTCGGCCTCGCAAAGCTCCTGGTTCCCCAGTAGCCTCTTAGTAAGGATAGCCTTGTTCCTACTACTTGTTTTTAATAAAAGACACCCAAAAAACGCAAAAGGGTACTGCTGGGGAACCCGGTCCTTCACAGTTGCTGCCTTTGTCAGGGTAACCTGCGTGAAGTCTTTCGCAGCCATCGCAGCTGGAGGCCACACCCCGAACCCTAAGCCTAAACTCTTATGCAACTCCGCCCTAAGCCCTAAACTGTCCCATAAACTCCTAAACCCAAGACCCTAAACCCCAAGAGCCACATCCCAATAAAGCCCAAACCTTCGCTGCGAGGCTCGGGCCGGAGAGCTAACTTGCCAGGTCACTGGGTGTTCATAGGGATTTTAGGGTTTAGGGGTTTAGGGTTTAGGGGTTTAGGGGTTTTGGGGTTTTAGGATTTGGGTTTCGGGTTTGGGCTTGAAATGGATAAAGTGCAGGGTTTACGGTTCATGGTTTAGGATGGTTTGGGGCTTGTGGTTCAGGGTTTAGGGTACCACATGGCTACCCAAAGGGTACATGCACCTATATAGCACATACTTTGGCTTTTTTCAGTCTTAGGGCTTACCTTTAGTCTCCGTTGTAGTTCCTGTTTTTGGTTTAA